GAATTCGGGATGTTATGACTCTCCATGTCATCTCAATCACTACAGTCGTTTGACGCAGCGAGCTCTGTCAGGCTGTACATTTTGATGTAGGGAGGAGGAATTTGTTTCACAACTGAAAAATGCTCTTGCTGCAACTCTCACTTTACCCCGGGGCTCAGAAAGTGTTGCTCACTGGTGCTAATGTGCGGGCGAGGCATTTTCAGGATTTAGTCTTTAGCATTGTGCCGCACATGCGCCAATTTCCTTCTGTGTTGAAGTCGAACAAGTTCTTGGAAATTTTCTGGTCCAAAAACAGTGGTGTCTGTGCCATAAGCTTATGCTTATAGACCAGTAGCTAATCGGTGATGCAAGAGTATCGAATGTGCTGGGACAACGAAATTAGCAAAGTAGTCTTGATTCTCATGAAAACGTGCTAAACCGAAGCGTTCACAATGGCGATTGTGGCAATGAGCTCGAATATCATGCTGAATGTGTTTAGGAACAAAATCTTCCTCTGTACTGTAAGCTGTATGTGCATAAATCTAATGAAGCGGCTCAGTTCCGAATAGGCAATGGGATGAAGAGATGATGTCATGAAGACGTTAAGCTCATAATAGACAATTCAAATTTCCGCCTATTAGACGGCCAGCGTAGCGGCCGCAGGCCGCTAGTATATATTTTAATATTCGGTATGAATTAAACGGTATGACCACGCCTATGTCTCGAGGCGAGGAATGTAGATAGTGGAAAGTGAAGGGAGGTTTTTAAAAAAGGGGGAAGTTCGTTCCCCTCGATCAGATGAGAGACCCAATGGAGGTGGATGGATTAAAAAAAAAATGCCTTCCGTCGGAGTGAGCCCCGAGAAGAAAGAGCGGCGGGGAGACTCTATGCAACATCTATGCGACACCATCGCTCAATTTTCAGGAACCCCCCCCCCCTTAATGGAAGAAGCTAACGGCATTCGAATTTTCTGTATACGATTTTTTTCTCTCCGACGGCCGAACCTTCCAAGTTCTTCTACCAGTCCAAGCGTTTTCCCGTTCGAATGTAATTTCCAAGTATGGCGCTGGCTTGTTCTTCTGGAGTCCTCGCTGGCCACTGCGGCTCACTCGGGGGTTATCCTGCCTTTAGCATTGCTCAGGGTGAAATTGAATAAAGGATGAGATTGTTCTTTGAGTAGGGGCACCCTCATCTAATTACATCATTACTCACCATTACTGTATATCATTACTCACCATAACTATACTGCCATTACTCTCCAGATTTTCTTCGAGCTAAGGAATGGCACCTGCCTAACGATATACGAGTACAAACGTGTCGCTCAGTCAAAATATTGATAAACCACTACCTATACCTAGACTCGGATCGTAGACGCGCCTTACCGTAGGACATCAGCTCTTCAAAAATGATTTTTTTTAATAAAATTTATTTTTTCATGCACTGACTTTCTCGTAAATTGTAATTGCTCATCCCGCAATTGTCATAAGTTGCCTGCATTTTCAGTACAGTCTAACAAGAGAGCAAATGTGGAATTTAGGAAATTGCTCAGCCACGATTCAAGGTTCTGAATCTGCTTGCAGTGGGACTGAAGATGAACGAGACGTTTGGGAGCCCTGCCGTGTGGTACGATCCGGTCTGGTTCTTGCCCTGGGAGTCCTATTTCAGCTACGAGTGGTCGGTGGAATGGTCGAAGAAGGCCTGGCCGTACGTGCAGGTGTTGGCGGCTGTCTACGTCCTGCTCACCTTCGTGGGGAGGAGGGCGATGAAGAACAGGCAGGGATTCAACCTCCGGTATCCGTTGATCGCGTGGAATGGGTTCCTGGCGGTGTTCTCCATCCTTGGCACGATCAAAGGCTTTCAGGAACTTTATCAAGTGCTGCGTCTCAGAGGCTTTTATTACTCGGTCTGCGATAACTCGTACGTAACATTTTCCTTCCTCATTGCACCGGTCTCTGATATTGCATCAATCGCTCAGATATTTATGGATCCCTTGTCGTGCCTGGAACAGAAAAAAAAGCCACGTTGACGCGTGTCAAAAGGCAATGATGACGCTGGATCCATGCGGCTTTTTACCAAGTTGTATCACAAGTAATTTGTGTCACTTTGACATTCTGTAGTAAAACAAAAATTAAGTTTGGGTATATATATATTATTTTAATATATATATATAGAGAGAGAGAAAAAAAATGTTTCACAGTCAGGAATCTGGCTCCCAGTGAATTAAAATACCGGTGATCAAGTTTTTTTCTCGCCCTGCTTATCTCTAACTGTAACTTTAATAACCTGTCGGGGTGTAGGTCAACCTGACGACCACTCGTAGGAGTAAGGCAACCCTAGCAACTCACAGTGGGCAACTCGAGCAACTCTGTGGCATGTCGACCATCGTCTGTCGACTGGTTGGCCAACGGCTTTCTTCGGTTCGACACTTTGAGCTCATCTGCAGTCGATGCACAGAGGGACTTCAGTCGTCCTTGGAATAAGGAGTACTTCCGGTTTCTAATTGACTTACGTTGACCGCAAGAAACCGGTTTTCATAGCCGTGGGTGCTCTCGCCCGGCCGTACCCGCCCTGACGAAACCGGTCAAATGACATCGACGACCTAAGCTAGAGCTTTCGTTCGTCTTTCGTGGCCTTCCGCCTGGAATCCCGCTTTTCTGCTCGGCGATCGTTTTGGGATTCCTGTCGGCGCGTTTCCGCGGTCGCTGGGCGAACTGGTCTGTGGGATTTGCCTGTTGGTGTTTGGTCCACTCCGAGGAATGAGGATTGCTTCAACTCCGTTGGGACCTAATGCATTTTACCCCAGATTCCGATGTGAAGGTACAAACAGGCAAATCCTTCCTCACATTCTGCCTTTCCAAGAGCATAGGACTCCGGAACACTATGGTATTTTCTCTCACTTTATTTTCTCTCACTGCGGAAGTGTTTTAAGGGGGAAAAAAAGTTTCAGATGCCTTGCCTCCACTTTATGGTCATAAAACAATTCCATTAAGAGGTACCAAAAACATCCGCTGGTGTTGAACATGAAATGACGTGACGGACAAAGGTGAGGTCGGATGGGTTGCGACCAATGAGATTCAGTCCCATCCTTGATTTTTTTTATAGTAAGAGATCAGGTAAACAATTATAAATGCAGTATCTTCAATCAGAGATGACATGCCCATTACATTGACATTAGAGCGAGAGGGAGAGAGACAGCAGCCGAAGTCCAGCAATCTTGAGTCCCTTAACGAGTACCATCCGATTAAAAAAAAAAAAAAAAAAAAAAAAAAAAGGAACACGCAACAAAAAAAAAAAAAAAAAAAAAAAAAAAAAAAAAAAAAGGGCCCAGCCGAAGGGAGGGGCACCAAAACTCTGGGTCATCGATACCCATTCGACCGGTTTCGTCGGGGGTGAACGGCCGACCTGGAGCACCCGCGGTTAATGCAACCTACTTCTGCGGTCGACCTAGACGGCTAAGGAACGTTCAGTAGAAACCGGAAGCGCTCCTTTCCAAGGACGACTCCAGCTGAAAGTTGCCCACTCCTACGCATGGTCGTCTGATTGACCTACAGGTCAGATTGACCGACAGGTTTCTAGAAGCATAAATGGAACGGGGGAGAAGCTCGACCCCAGGTATTGTAATTCGCTGAGAAATGCGAACGTCGAAAAATAAATAAAAATAAAACAAAAATAAATACTCGGTTTCCTCGCTGAGGTGCGGTTTTTTATTTAGAAAAAAAAATGAAGCGATAAAAAAAAAGTTTTTTTTTTCGCTTCAGTAAGCACGCATGAACCCGAAATTTGGGACGAGCATTCCTGTCGAGAATCTGATTTCAGGGGTGAGGGTTTTTAAAATTTCGGTTTTGTTTTGTCATTTTCATGGAGTCCTCTTTGTCATTTTCATTTTTCATTTCCTGGACCATTTTTATCTGTAAAGATGGGAACCCAAAAAAATTGAACGCACGTGGAAGATGGTCTCTTGCACGTTTGCTGTATTATTTGACTAATTAATAAATTAATTAGGCTTAATTGACATCGTCATGAATTCGATCGACTCGAGTGGAAAGAAAACCACCAACAGAAAGAGGGGCACTGCTTGGGCGAGACCCCTGACTTCAAGGTCAAAAATCTGACTTCAAGGCTGGATCACTTCGAAGGATTGAAAGAAAAGTCAGTCGGTCAGCGAGGAAGGCGTTGTTGAGTACTGAAAACAAATAACACGGGCCCTCGAATTCATGATTTACACAAATTATCTTACTTTCCCTAACTCTGCTCTGCCATGCAGGGAAAATGCACAAGCGAATGCTTTATTTGGCAGCCAATACCAGAACGAGGCGGTGTCAGTCTACGGGTGGCTCTTCCTCGTGTCCAAGATCTTCGAACTGGGCGACACGGTCTTCCTCGTCCTTCGCAAGTCCCACCTCGTCCATCTGCACTGGTATCATCACACCACGGTCCTCCTGTGAGTCTCACGTGATCGCGTCTCCTCTTGTACGTCTCGAATGCCTCTGGCACTCGCGGAAGTGGCGAGTTTGGCTGATTTTTTTTTAACGCGATGGCTCGTGTTCGTTGGCTTCTGCGCGCGAATCTGCGGCATCAGTTCGTCAGCGGAGGCAAGGGAGGCCTAAAAGAAATATCTATAAATAAATATAAATATAAATATAAATAAGAAGTCGCCGGGCTCTGAGAGCTGCTCCATCGTCCGAATTCGCTTTGCTAATTCATATCTGCGCAGTCGCAAAGGACAGAAAATTAGCAAGGTATTGGGCGACATGCACCAGATCCATTTAACTTTAAACCTGGACCATTGTGAGATCAGCATGATCCGGCTTGGTGAGCTAGTCCGATTTCCTTCAAGGTTCCTGCTCTCAGCCTTTTCTTTTTGACCTTCGAGCATATAAAGGGTGTTTCAAAACTGTGGAGGAGAGACATAGCCAGTCCAGAAGAATGAGTCACTCGGAAAAAGGCACTTATACAGGGTGGCCCAAAAAAACCGAACGATACTTTAAATGCCGATATCTCGCGAACTGTTAAAGCTACAGAAAAAATTACAAAACGACAATAAAGTTCAGTTCAAGCCCTTTCCATTGATATATGGTTTTTAGGTCGTAGCACCTATCCAATGGTCACAGCAGCCATTTGAAAAAAGCATACCCCCCCCCAAAAAGTTGTAAAACTGGATTTTCACCAGCAATGCCTATCATCCATTCCTCCTTCAGAGCAATCTGTCATTTTCCCGCCATTATCTTTTCATCTAAAACTGGAAGAATGATTGAAAAATTGGTTTAGTCCCCAACAAGCTGCTGTTCGGGTTGGTTAGGTCTTTGCCTCCCCCTTCCTCTTTAGACCACCCACTTTCAGAACCGACTGGTTTCAGCCTGTGCGCGTGTGGCCTTGAGCTGGCTGGTGCTTGCTTCATGTGTCTAACTTTTTTTTTTCCTACCCAGGTTAAAAAATGAGTGCAAGGCGTGGATTGACTGAAAGTGATAAAAATATCATTCAGGCTCTTTATGAAGAAAAAGTATATTCCCTAGCTCAGATACTGAAAGAATTTCCTGACCGAAACTGGAAAAAAAAACAACTGTTTGGGACTTTCTGAAAAAACTTCGTGATACTGGAAGTGCAGGACGTCGTCCTGGCAGTGGTCGTCAAAAAACTGTCAGAACTCATGAAAATGCTGAACGTGTTCGCGAACTGATTCTGAGCCAAGAAGGGAACCCAGGCACAAGCAAAAGTGAACGAGAAGTTGTTAAAGCTACCGGGATTCCATGCTCATCTGTTCAGCGCATTATTAAGCGTGACTTAAGGCTGAAAGTGTTCAAACGGGTCCCTGTTCATGAACTGTCTGCTGCTGTGAAGAAAAAACGGGTCACTCGTTGTAAAAAAAACTCCTGAACCGTTTCCGAAGCAACAAGTCCGTGAAGAAGATCTGGTTCCCAGATGAAAAACGGTTCACTGTTGAAACTCCCCGGAACACTCAAAATGACCGTGTCCATGCTTCTGTGGGCCGCAAAAAGTACATCGAACCTTCCCGTCTCCTGCGTGAAAGAAAGCAATTCTCGGATTCAGTGATGGTTTCCCTGGCGGCTTCTTCAGAGGAGAAATCAACTGTCGTTTTTGTAGCACGTGGTGTAAAAATCAAAGCGAAAAGTTTCTGTGAGGACGTCTTGACGCCGATGTTGGCGGAAATCCATGAAAAAACCCCTAAATTTGCCTTCCAGAAAGATGGGGCTCCTGCCCACCCTGCCAAAGAAACGATAGCCATCTTGCGTAGAAACTGTAACGACTTCATTGAGCCAGAAAATTGACCACCCTGCAGCCCTGACTTGAACCCTATTGACTACATTGTGTGGTCAGCCTTGGAGAAAAAAGTGTACTGGAGAAGGACGATCCGCGACGTTCAGGATCTGCGTGACCGCATTTGCACTGCATGGGAGGAGATGCCCCAGGACTCGATCTGCAAGGCGATTTCAAAACGGAGAGGAAGTTTGCAGGCAGTTGTTGACCATGATGGTGGTCACATCGAACCATTCATTGAAAATTAAAGGTTAGTAAGGTTAATGATCATTATAGCATACAATTGTAGGAAGAAGCTGCTTAGTCCCCTGTTTTACAACTTTTTTTAGGGTATGCTTTTTTCAAGTGGCTGCTGTGACCATTGCGCAGGTGCTACGGCCTTAAAACCATATATCAATGGAAAGGGCTTGAACTGAACTTCATTGTTTGTTTTTTTTCTGTAGCATCAACGGTTCGCGAGTTATCGGCGTTTAAAGTATCATTCGGTTTTTTTTTTGGGCCACCCTGTATTTTGTCACCTAAATTGAAGCCTAGTTTTGCTTGTCGAAGTTCCTTTACATGTAGACACGTAGCAAAAGCTATCGTGTTAGTTTTGAGCTGAACCGAATTTACACAGATATACTATTGGGTCGATCGGAAAGTTGTGGCCGTTTCGAGAACATTCCATACAACCGAGTTTTTTTAAAGCAAAAAAAGCAACAATCATTCAACGAAGTGATCTCCATCACAGTCAATCACCTTCTGCTAACGATCAAGCAGACTTCTGATTCCATCCCTGTAGAACTGAGCTGGCTGTGAGTCGAAAAAACCAGACAGTTTTCGACCTCAACGTCATCGTTGAACCTTTTCTGGCGAAGATGGTCGTCCAGAGCGCGGAAGAGATGGTAATCGGTTGGCGCCAGATCTGGGCTATACGGAGGGTGAGGCAGAACCTCCCAGCCCAGATGCAGCAGCTTCTGCCGTGTGATCTTCGCGACGTGCGGCCTTGCGTTGTCCTGCAGGAATCGAACGCGACGGTGCCCTGGCCTCACCGTGCGGAGTCTGTCGGCGAGCTTCTGCACCCGATCGCAGTAGTAGGCGGCGGTGATGCTGGTATCGGGTGGGAGCAGCTCGAAGTCGATCACGCCTTGCACGTCCCACCAAATATACATAGCTTTTCGGGGGTGCAGGTCACCATTCGGCTCCGGCTCTGGCTGGGCATCGGCATCGACCCACTGGCGCCTGCGTCGGTAGTTGACGTACAGCAACCACTTTTCGTCTCCAGTAACTACAGAATCCAGCCAGTCGTTTGTGCGCTCGTACGACAACAGCGAAGTGCACACCTCAGCACGGCGTTCACGGTCGCGGTCGGTCGGATCGTGGGGTACCCACCGACCCAACTTGCTCTTCTTGCCGATTGCTGCCAGGTGCGTCACGATCGTGGACTGGGGGCAGCCAAGTGCTGTCGCAAAGTCGCGGGTACTTTGTCTCGGATCGGCTTCCACTGTGTGCTGCAATTGCTCGTCGTCGATTTCAGATGGGCGGCCTGACCTGGGCTCATCCTCGAGGCTGTAATTTCCAGACCGGAAACGATCGAACCATCGTCACGCTGTCCTTTCATAAACTGCACCTTGGCCAAACGCGGCGACTCGATTCGGCTGCTGTTATGCCAGATAGGAAGTCGTAAAGAAGGCACTGACGTTGGGTGGTCTTGTTAAAGTCGATTTTGGAAGTCATGGTTATAGGCTTTGAATGACTAAGCAACTGCTGCGTAATCACGCCCACACACCTTTTATATTCTGCTACTGTGGAAGGTTCGCGAAAGTTCCAGAAATTTTTTTTCCTGGAAAATTCTCGAAACGGCCAGAACTTTCGATCGACCCAATAATATCTGAGAGTAGAGTATTTCTTTAAAAGTGACTTTTTTTGTACATGACAGGGTCACAGAAGGCACTGCGTGCATTTTAGAGGCTATTTAAAATATGAGATTAAGTAAACTATTACTCAAGTCTGACACTTGAGATTTAAGTCAAGGTTATAACCCTTTTGATCCTATTTTCACAAGCAGGCATGCATATATATAGTCCATCCGTTCGAATCCTGGGTCAGATAAGCAGAGCGTGAGATAAGCACAGGAAGACATTAGCATGTCAGGCAGCACTAGGACCAAAGGGGAAACTATGATAAATGAGAGGAGAGGGAGAGTGAAGAAGGAAACCAATGGCGGAGCTTCCTCTACCTTCAACCCTCTACTCCCCAAAAGTCTAAAAATACCTTTCCTCATAAATTCATTGATCTTCCCCCCTCAAAAAAGGGGCAGAGTCGCCCTTGGGTTCGGTGGTGGCCGATTTGATTGACGCTTCCCACTTCTCACCCTCATTAGGCCGCTGCCGCATAGATCCGACAACCCGCGATTCGAATGGATGCACTATACCATGCGATTCTTCCAATGCACTTATTTTAGTGGGTTCTGCCACAAAGAACAAGCTGGTCTCAGGAAGATTAGACTGACTACTATTACGCTACAATTAAACAACTATTACAGTAAAGTTTCAAAATTAGAATTTCACAAATGCAAAGCATCCTAACCTTTCCAGTAGCCATTTAACCAGGCTTTTAAGCTTTGCTTTCAATTCAATTTCCAGAATAAATGAAAAAAAGACAGCAACCAAGAACTGTAACTAACTTGATTCAAATCAAATGATGCTTGAAATCACAATTGATCTAATCACAAAGAAGATGCAAGCAATAATGTGAAAAAATACTGAAGTCTGTCAGAAAATGCACAATACTCACCATTCTTCACTTCTGCCTCATAGGTGGGCAAGCTCTCCAAAGACAGTTTGTAACTGTCAAACTTGGGGTCAAGGAGAGATTTATCTGGCCTAAGACTGAATAAAACAGCCATGGTTTTCAAAAGTGGCAACCTGCAAAAGAAGTTTTACCATAATTGCATTATGTTTTGATTTAAAAAATTACCTTTCATTGGTGTTTGCACATATTACTTTACATACTGAAATGAAGTTTACCCAATAAAGTTGAAGACATAAACCTGAAAGGACTAAATATGGCTGCAGTTCATGTCAGATGCCACACAGACAAGAATGCTACCTATACCAGGGGGCAAGCACCTTTCAAGTCTAAATTCTGTAAAGAGCCAAGAGCCACGATAGGTATGCATGGTTGTTTTTGTACTGAACTAAGCAACTCAAAAGCAGCCAAGAATATTGGATTTATTCCTCAAGGAACAAGTATTTATCATATCTACTTTTCCATTCAACCTTTTCATCTAAGGAAAAGGCAAGCTTTGTTCTGAACAGAGAAGAGGTGATCCCCTGCAACTTGATCTCAGTGATTCTTGAGGCAGCACAAAAAATACTCTGACTGCTTATTGAATTTTGGTGCTCTATGTTTTGCTCAATAGGATTCCTTATCCTTTTGCATTGCTTCCTTGATGCAAGCCCACCTCTAATACAAAACTCAATTATTATTGCTCATAATAATATAAGCTCATTATTCAAGCATTTCATATGCAGGTGAATTATAAATCTAGAAAAAAATTTTATGTACAAAATGTTTTTCTAGCAAAATTAAAAAAATCCTATTTCAATAACTATAAGAAATGCACAGACTCTCTTAGGAAGGTGCATCTCCTTCACAAGGTGAAGCTGTGGCAAGTTTGAGTTTTATTGCTCTCACAGCAGTGACAAGAGATCAGAGATTTAGAAATAGCCCCTCATCCCAGACAATCAATATAATCATGGGCTCCAAAGTCACAATTGCCAAACACATGAGGCAATCAGTGGTCAGTCACCTGCAGACTCCCACAATTGAGGAGACAGAGGAAAGCCTTTCCATGATCAAAGTACTGTCTTCATCCATCTTGCAAATGGCACCAGCCATGTCATAGCACATTCTCATGGTGTCATCATGAGACATTTTATTACTTTAAACATGAAAAAATCAAAATGTATGGCAGTATTGCACTAGCTATAGATCCCTGTACTTGGCAACCTTGAGCTTCATTTTTCGCTGCTCCATTTTAAGCCAGCTGGGTAATTTGGAATCCACCTTCTGAGCAAGTGGATAGCGAAGGCCTGGTTCTTCTTCCTTAAATGGATGCACTCTCTTCATTCTCGTGAGGAAAATGTCTTTGTTGATGTCTCTTCGATCACGATAACGATCCAAGTATCTATTTAAAAAAAACACAAAATTACTTCTTATTCCTGAATAAAGCAGATGTAGTAACCATGATCAACTTCTCATGCAAGAGCCACAGAGGAGTCTGGGTTGCACAAAAGATACTCACGAGTTGAAGGGCTGTTGGTGTGGGAACCATTCCTGATGCCTCATTCTTGGGGGAGGAAAGTCATACTCGAAAACTGGTTCCTTCATCCCTGTAATACAAAGCATTTTAAGTTGAAAATCAGAGAAAGATCATTTACCACCATCAGTCTTCAAATGGGAGAAGTAATAATACTGACCAAGTTGTTGGTGGAAGAAATCAGTGAGGGATGGATCCCAATCAGCTTGGAAGAAAGCCAACCCAGCTGGAGTGATGAGATCTTGTCTCTCCTGATAGAAGTCCAAGGTTTTGAATGTCCTCTCCTCCAGTTGAGAACTTCACAACATTCAGAATGTGAATCATATATATCACATCCATATCAACTTAGCACCTGTTGACCTCAAGTTCAAGCTTTTCAATAGAAATAAACATGCATGCAACAGACTGCAGAACTGCCTAGGTGATGCCATTCAGCAAAGGTTTCTAGGTCACCTTCCATTAATTCCTTACAAAAGCAGAGAAACTCACCATGGATCAGGTCTCTTGATGGCAGCATAGTCCAACCTTGATTCTTGCTTGTACAGAATGAAGACATACCTGAGAAAACCAAGACCTCTGGCTGGAAATGGTTGAAGGTATGGACAAATAATCTCCCCTTTCTCAATCTGGTCTCCAGGTATATTTCCTCTGCATCAATAGTAAAGATTTTCTCATAAATATGTTGTATCCTATAGCCTGGTCCCAATTGGATGTAGAGAGCTAAAAAACTCACACAAACCAGTGGAGGTATTCTGCCTGAGGGTCTCTGAAGTGGCCATCAGGGGTTGTTAGCACCAGTGTCCATAGAGAACCAGGCTCAACTTCATACCTGACATGTGGCACTGAACATGCCTGACACAGAAAGAGCACAAACATTTTTGACACTGGTACTCTACTCCTCATAGACAATTGTAACATGTTTTTAAAAAAAATTTTTGTTCCATCCATATATCAAAAAGTTTTTATTACTGAGTGTTTTGCTGCTTCTTGGCCACAGATATGATGCCCAGTCTATGTCTTTTCAGTGCCTCAAATTCTCATTAGTTCCACTTCATCTAACTTCCTCTAGGTCTTAGGATTCAAAATATCAACATTTCAAAGCAATTTTGCTTGAATTTTAGTCATCTGAAACCTGCTATTTTTAAATGCCATAGCTCTGGAAACAAGATTTTGAACATTGTTTTATTACAGAGATTAGAATATAAATAATATTTCCAATGTAAAAACTCAATGACCAGAGCAACTTCCATTGCCTTTTTCTCAGATTGGGTCATTTATACTGATATGATGATGATGACATATCATCACTGAGGATGTAGATGGGAAGACAGACCAATCTCTGCCAGATATATCCATCCTCACTTCTTTTGGCTTGATAGCATTTCCAAAGTGCACCGGGGTATAGAATTCTTCATCATAATCATAGCGGATGTGAAGTGGGACCCTTGGGTAGAAGTATGCATCTCCAAACAAATGCTGGAATACATCATAGTGAGTTGCAACCTCTCTGACTTGCTGTGACCACCCAGATGATTTCCAGTCTCTCTCAACTTCCTCCAAGGGGATATCAACTGAAATAGCAATTGAACATGAGAAGTTTGACACATCAATTCCTGAAGATGACATGACAACTTTCCTGGGACATGTTGGGTCTATAAGGACTTGATGAAAGCAAACTTTTTATGAATCAATACCAAAGTAAATTTGAATTTTTGTTCCTTTAAAATTCTGTCAAAAGTCAACTGATACACCTGCTGCCTTTTGGAATGATGCCCTAAAAATTTTTTTGCATTTTGTGTTTATTTCTCAGATATTCTCAGACATACAATGAATCCAAAACCAAATGTGTATGCCAGTGGTGCCCAACCCATGGCCCACAGGACCCAAACCCATAATATACACCCTCAGATTTCTTTAATATAGTCTCCTACAATACTAGTGACTGCATATGGCCCACATTGGCTGTGGGAGTGGCCTATGTGGCCCCTGAGTCGTAAAGATTGGGCACCACCGGTGTATGCCATCTGATAGTTACAGCAGAGGAGACATTTTTCAAAATTCCAGCAGTCTGAAAGCAGAATCTTCCATGCAAGCCAGCCATCACATAATCCCCATCTCAGATCATAGTATCCATGCCACCAATAAACTAATTAACAATAGCAAGATGCATTTAAGTCAAGTCACAATAAGCCATCCATGTTTTCATTGTCTACAATTTTGATTGTGGAGCATGAAAACTCCACTCAGTAGCATGCCTCTTTTCATGAAGTCTTCTGTTTGACCTCACCTTTTGTGTTCTTCAGCTTCCTCACAAGTTCTTGTGAGTCATGCCCCTTCACTGTCAATGCTGCCTTCCTGGAGGGCTTCTTTTCTTCTGGAGGTAGACTGATGTCAACCAAATAGTCAACTTGGGGATCATATTTCTTTGATGCTTCAACTGGCAGAAAAGAATACACAACTTTACTTGTCTTCCACTGGACCTAAGAAATTAGTAAAGAATGACACTTCTAAAATATGACATTCACAGATTGGCAGTGAGGCCACCTCATTACAGGGAAGTAAATCAGGTTCTGCACAACTCCATGCAAGACAAGGGATCTCATGCTATTCAGTGGAATAACAAATTCCTAGAATTTAAGGGAGGTTTTTGGCAACAACCAAAGTAAGGGTGTCAATAACTGGAGACTGACACCAAAGAGTTGGAAGGATAACAAACAAAGGCTGAGCATGAAATACTCACACAAAGAAACAAACCCAAACAAGCATTTTCATTCAGCTATTACCCTTTCAGCATAAATAATAAATAGGTTTATATAAAATAAAAAGGTTTGAAGGAAGTTTTCTACCCCCTTTCATGGGAGCATTCCTGCCAATACTTCAGGAAAGGGAAAGGGTAATAGGTCCAAAGGAACCTTCTGCATTAATGGTTATTAATGGGAATCATCACACATGCTATTCCTGATTCAACTTAATAAACTCCAAATTTTTTTTTTAAGTTCTCTTATGTTTTTTCAATTTTTTTGTTGTTTTCTCCTCTGGTCCACTAAATTGCCCAGACTTGATAAGTCCTGCACCACAACAACTGCAAATGCCACACATTGGACATGCACGTTTCATGATAAAAAAAAAAATTACTTTCCGGACTTAGAACTTTAAACCAGGTGAGCTCAAGCTTTTTTATTTTTTACCACAAATCATGGTTAACATGATTCAGGAACATATCAAGGGGCATACATCATGCTCCAAAATTCTTTCCATGAGGAGTAGGGAGGGAGGCAGCAGCAATCTAAATTTGTTGCAATTTAACCCATTGATGCCGGGAACTGTAATATTACATTTTTAAACCCATAGTATTCTGGAGTCGCTGGGTGTGAATGTGTTAAAAGCTAACATACATATGAGCCACATGGATGGTAGCTTGTTCAGTCATATTGCCGGTGCAAAATGGCAGAGAACAAAAGCACCAGCATGTATGATCAGCAAATTTTTGAAACATGGATGACAAGGAGTTGAATAAGGTTTCTTCACCTTGTGGATTTATTGCTTGGAGATGAAACCAGTGGTAAGCATGCATTCAAGCCTTACTGCAGCCAAAATGTGTATTGATTATATGTGAATAATGTATTTCATTTTGATGCTACTGCCTGCTTTACCTTGCAAAAGTTTTCCCAGTAGGAGAGAATGTGACACTAAGTCTTTCTTCCTTTGATGGAAGCTCCTTCCAGTACCATGGAGTCATGCAAAACTTGAAGAGCATGTATGAGCCCCTTCGCACACCCCTGCCCTGTAAATTTATGTGTGCGCCACCAGGCCAAAAGTTAGCCCTACACGATTACCAAACAATCGTCTGAAAAGGGCATGCGACGATTCCCCTACAGCTGTTAGACAACAGGGTCGCCAAGATGCTGGGAATGATAGCGAGACTTGACATGTGTAGGATAGAGCTAGCCAGTAGCCTACTTCAACTAAAACTCGCAACGTCATCGTCATGTCTGTATCGACAACCTCACGTTTGCCCATCCTTAGCGTACACTTACCCTCTAACCGCTCCTTCAAAGTAGTAAAATTGGTGGGTATGAAATCGAAGGCAGGCTTTTTGTTTCCCCGGACGCTCGTGAAGAATACCCCAAGAGACCGAGAACTAAGCAACCCACGGAGAGAACGAGCTCCGACTGCCACCGGCATGGCAGCGGCCATTCATATGCGAACTCCGGTTTTCTACATACACGGATGCCCGATGTTTATAGAGCTTTCCAATGGAATCCGGTAGGCCTCGTAAATTTATTATTCGTTTTATAGCTTTGATTTGGCCGTTTCACCAAAAGAAAGGTAATCTTTGCCCTTTTGGCTGCATGGATGAATTTTCTCGGAAGCCTTGATCAACGCCAAATGAATTTCAGCATGGTGGTAGGTCTAGCAGTTCATCACTTCGATCGAGCTTTCTTGGAAAGTGTTCATCCATCTGGCCGGGATCGTTTCATCATTTCATTCCACCGAGTCGCTTCTTGATAGGATGTGTTTTTTCGGGACTTCTCGGAAACCCAGGGGGAGCCGCGTTGTGAAATTCGGTACGAATGCGACCAGAAGCCTCAGCAGGAGCAAATATATGAATGACTACAAATGGCTCTCAATTGCGGAGCTGCGCGTCCAGGCGGAGCTTTAGCATAACGGAAGTGGTTGATGG